ATATATATATATTCATTTTTATTTATTACTTCAATATTATAGACAGCTTTATAAAACTGCTTTATTCTTCATATTTGTGAAGAGCACATAACAATATGGAATGACAATTGGCTTTCAGTGTATAAGTTTAGCCATAATAGTGTTGCATTAGCGGACAATGTGCCTTAATGTACTCTTTGTTGTGAAACACCTCAGGTATATACAGTGCTGGAGGCTGCCGCCACTCCCTATCCTCATCTCTCCTACTCTCCTTTTAATTTTGCTCCTTTTCCCCTTTCCCCTGTTGGTTTTTCTTTCTCTTCTTTTTTCTCTTGATCAGTTATCTTTATATATTGTCATTCCTTGGATGATTCTTATTCTCTCTTCTTGTTAGAATTTTTCTTTCGTTCCAGAATTTTTAATCGATTTATATTTTCGTGTTTTCTGTCTCTTTTTCGTTCTCTTTCTCATTATTTTATCTCTCATTCTCTTACTGCCCTGACTTTCATTTCTACGTCATAATTTCTCTCTCTTCTCTAGTTCCCTCTCTCTCCTTTTTCAGTCCACTGTTTTATCGCTTTTATTTTACATGGGTTCCTGTTCTCTCCCCCTCTCTCCTCTCTCTCCTCTCTCTCTCTCTTCTCTCTCTCTCTCTCTCCTCTCTCTCATCTCTCTCTCCTCTCTCTCTCCTCTCTCCTCCTCTCTCCTCTCTCTCTCCCCTCTCTCTTTCCTCCTCTCTCTTTTTTTTTTTTTTTTTTTTTTTTTACACAGGGTTGACAGGTTAAGGATCCTAGCTTTATTGACAGCTATAGGTTAAGGATTCCTAACTTAATTGGCAAACTAAGAGCTGTTACCTACATCAGCTCATTGAAAGCATTTTTATTGTTATGAGACAACAAGTACGGACAGGATGAAGTTGGAGCCCTCTGGGGCCGCATTTTCATTGATCAACGACTTATCTCTTGACATCATATGCTGTACGAATGGTTCCATACTCTAGTCATCCCGGGTATGTATATCTCGATGGAGGATGTTCTGGAAAGGGTAAGCCAGAGTGAGTTGCTGCTTTCTGGCCCGTCTTGTGGCATAAAACTTGTTTCACGCTGTCCTCAAATGGTCCAGGTGGTATTTTGACAATATTGCCTTGTACAAACATAAGGCCCCCCACATCCCCCCTTGTTTTTAAGGGCCCGCTGAAAAACAGATCATCCAGGGTGGGTCCACGAGGATGAGCGTCTTCCTGTTCCTTTCTCTGAAGCAGTCGCAGATGAGAGGATGAAGAGGGGGCAGGCAAACCAAGAAAGTGGACTACCAAGGTGTGAGGTACTTGTGCCTCGTACGGATCTTTTAACCCCCTGTCAACAGATGCGAGTACGCAAGGCTGTAAACTTCCCGGCTGCCTTGTTTCCAGATTCAACATGGTTCTTCAGGTTATTTTGGGTCAAATTTCACCCCCAAAGGGTTCAATTTTTCCCGGTGCCAAAATGTCCCCTTTATCCTTACTACGCACCGATTACCATCAGGTGCCTAAGACGATCATCATTTGCGTTTTCTCAGGGGCAAATGTTTTGCCATCTATTTCCCCAAGCTGATATAGCTCTCAGTGGTGTTGATGTATTTAACAGCTGGCATTCTTTTCTTGGATAAGTGGGTGTCAGTGTACAGTCGTCTGCATATGCATGTGATTCTGGGATGAGATGAAGAAGGTCGTTGAAGTAGACATTCCATAACAGTGGACCCAGCACGCTTCCTTGTGGAACGCTTGCCCAATAGGATGCCTTGCTGATTCCGTTCCATTGAGGACTACACTTAGAGATCTACCATGAAGGTAATCACTGAGGAGACATAGCGTAGAGCCTGCAATTCCCAGTGCTTGAAGTTTGCTAAGAGGCCCTGGTGCCACACCCGGTCGAAAGCGTCAGCAATGTCAGTGCTACCACACAGCTGACTTTGGATTCATCCAGTGACTGGTGCCACTTAGTGGAGAGGTTTTAACAACAAAATCAGCAGCAGAGTAACCTTTCCTGAAGCCATATTGACGATCACAAAGTAGTGAGTGGTAGTCTAAAAAATCTGTCATTTGTCTTGAGATTATTGTCTCAAGGATCTTACCAGTGATTGACAGGAGTGACACTGGTCTGTAGTTGCTGATTTTGCTCTGCTCTTCTTTTTGTGAACAGGGACTACATTTGCCTCTTTCCATGGAGAGGGCCATTTACACTGTACTAGGCAGTGCTGAAAGATGCGAGTTAGAGGTGCTGCTAGCTGGTCTGCACATCTTCTCAACAATCTTGGGCTCAACTTGTCTGGGCCCACAGCCTTTTCTTGGTCAAGTGATTTAAGAGGAAATGCACCTCCTCCTGCCTTATTGTCACCACTGACAGTTTTGACACAGTTCTTGCAGCTAGCCAAGGAGGGTCCCTTGCTGGATCAGGAACTTGCATTTTGGTAGCAAAGTGTTCAGCAAAGAGGTCCGCCTTCTCTTGACTACTAGTAGAGGTGGTCCCATCCTGTCGATTTAGAGGTGGAATAAGTTCATCAGGCAGATAAATTGTCTGTCTTGACCAGGGACCACAGGTTTTGGAGCCTACCCTACCTGATGCTAACTTTCTTTTAGTGTCCACCTCCCATTTAGCAATGGCCCACTTTTGAACATCACTCATATGCCTACAGGCTTGCATGTGCAAGTTCCTGTTATAGGTGGTAGGATGTCTCTTATACCTTCGCCATGCTTTGTACTTAGCAGTAGCAGCCTCTCTACAACGAAAGCCAACCAAGGCTGATCTGTAGGCTTTGTCACATATTGCCGGTGAGGAATGTGTTCTTGTTGCAGATTAAGGATGTGTCCAGTGAAGGCTTTCACTTGGTTGTCAACATCCCCCTGGAGAAGAGCATTCCAGTCGGTGGTGGCGAGCTCAGAGCAAAGGGCTGGCCAATTACCTCTTTCCCATAGCCAGGTTGTGCGTGTGGACTCCTCACCTCGTTCTGTTGGGATCTTAAGTGTGGTAAAAACAGCCTTGTGGTCAGACGATCCAACGTAGCCGAGGGGTTGACAAGTGATTATGCCTTCTGCCAGATCACTCACTACTGGGTCAAGGGAGGAGCCAGAGATATGAGTAGGGAAATCAACAAAGTTTCTCATGTCAAACACTCTCTCTCTCCCTCTCTCTCTCTTTTTCTCTCTCTCCCCCTCTTTTTTTTTTTTACACAGGGTTTGACAAGGTTAGGTTAAGGATCCCTAGTTTTATTGACAAGCTAAGAGCTGTTACCTCTCTCTCTCTCTCTCTCTCTCTCTCTCTCTCTCTCTCTCTCTCTCTCTCTCTCTCTCTCTCTCTCTCTCTCTCTCTCTCTCTCTCTCTCTCTCTCTCTCTCTCTCAAAAACCCCACAACTGGGTCAAGATTCATGACATGGCCCAAAACTCGCCCAATAAATCATGCTCGACGCTCCCGCAGCTCCTCGCATAATTTACATAATTTTATAGCAGTATCATAAATAAATTTTTGCCTTGTATACAAACAAAAATTGTTAATAATTTAGATCATGTGTTTTATGTTTTCCTTTTTCTTATTTTTCCCAGTATAAGATATATACAAATATATATTATGTATATGTTATATATATATTATATATATATATATATATTATATATATATATATATATATATATATATATATATATATATATATATATATATATATATATTTATATATTTTACTTTTAATGTTGAGAGAAAAAACATTTATTTTACGACGTTTCGTCATCAACGACGTTTTGTTTTCTTCAAATCTCGTCGTGGGCGAAATGTCGGTAGATAAAATTTTCAGAGTGATAAAGTTTTAAGGCTGAGATTTACGTATCGGGCGATACGTCGACATTTTAAGAAGGAAAACCATAGATTTAACAACTCTTCACACGTCCGTGAGGCTTTTTGAAACCCCATTATGGGCGAAATGTCGTAACAAAGTTTTTTCTCCATTTTCTAGTATCTTTAAATTACCACTTGTTCTACGTCTGTTTTATTATTAAACCAGCTATTGTTTTCCTACATCAGTTTAATTCTAAGCTTAAGATTATTTTTCCTTCGTCAACTCAATTTAAAACCTGGCAGTGTATTAGGATTCTTGCTGTATTTATTTATATAGGCGATATATTTATTATTATTGAATATGCATTTAACTGGTCGAGGTGATTATAATTATTATTATGATTATTATTAATATTATCGGCGAAAACTAATAACCCATAGCGGTGATACAGCTTATTGAAAACGGTAAGCAATTGTTTTGGATTCAAGAGTATGTAAGGTAGTTTCGATTTCTTGGATCAAAAGCCCCTCAGCATCATGGCACTTTCTAGGCAGTCTAGGCATGAATGATCGTTTGTGGAATGATACGTTCGGGAAAGTCTCTTCTTTTTGGATATGTGGATGATGGGTGCTCTCTCTGTGTCTCTGTCTGTCTGTCTGTCTGTCTCTCTCTCTCTCATCATGCACGATCATTAGTGTACAACTTCATACAGGAATGCCATAGTGCCATATTAACTCCTTCCTCTCAAGCTTAATATTATATTAATATTTTAACATGCCTTTACTCTTGAAAAGGTATGTTAAAAGTCATTTTCTCCTCCGTGTAATAAGAGCCATTAAATTAATTTAAATTCTAATTGCACTTTGGGGTCAATTGATGGCAGTATTTCACCTATTTTTCCAAGATTAAATCTTACAATCATAGATCTTTTTTCGTATAAAAAGCTCAACATAGAGTGACAATAAGGCTCAACTCGGGTGTTTTTTTTGCAATTTAAGCGTGACCCTGAGGTAGGTTATCCGTACAATATATAAAAGATATACACCTTAACTTATTTTCTTAAGGTTGTATGACCCATACAAATTCATCCTTTTCCTGAAATAACAACACTACCAACAGTAACACCACCAAAAATAACGCCAACAACACCAACACCAACAACAACACCAACACCAAAACCAACAGTAATAACAACAGTACCTCATTCTCTCAGGTATCAGGAACGCTGCACAATGCTGGTCAGAGCGTCATCTTCAAAGTAGAGAAAGGGACTAAGCACCACGTCAACATCACAGGAGGGCCCCTCGTCTACAAATACCGCTTCGAAGATCTCTACATCCACTTCGGAGCCGCTAACGACAAGGGCTCTGAACACCAGATTAACGGGGCCACCTTCCCCGCTGAGGTAGGTGCACCAGGATATGCCAAACTCATACTTTAACATACTTCAATTTACCTAGTATATATATATATATATATATAATATATATGTATATATATATATATATAATATATTAATATATATATATATAATATATATATAATATATATATTATATATATATATATATATATATATATATGTATGTGTGTGTGTGTGTGTGTGTGTGTGTGTGTGTGTGTGTGTGTGTGTGTGTGTGTGTGTGTGTGTGTGTGTGTGTGTGTGTGTGTGTGATTGAATATTGAGATTTGGGTGCAATTTTTCGCACATTTCATCAGTCAGGCTGTGTGTGTGTACTCGCGTATATGTGATTACATGAGTCGAGTCACAACTCCTGGCTCCTGACAACTCTGAGACTGAAGAAATACTTCCTAACATTCCTGTGGCTCATTTGAGTTTTCAACTTCCATTTCATTATCATATCCCCCCCCCCTCCTTAATGTTCCTGTCCTCCAGCTTCATCAGGTTGAGTTCCCTGGCTCTTTCCTCATAGCATATACTCTTTAGCTCCGGGACTAATCTTGCTGCAAACCTCTGCAGCTTTTCCAGTTTCTTGATATGCTTGACTAGGTGTGGATTCCCTATTGATGCTACTTGATTGTTAATTATCTTAATTTTTAAAGAGGGTAAACTGGTAAGCCAGTGTAAGGCCTCGGTCAGATGACCAAACGCTCCAGTAGCGGGTCATCACAGGACCAAGACCCGAGTCAGGAAACAAATGTCTTCTTTCCTTTCGAATCTTACCTAACCTAATCCTCATACTCTTTACTTTGATGTCACACAACTATTCTTATATTTGTCCGACGGGCATTTACTGCATCAGGTATTTTGGTTATGTACGCCTCAGGGCATATGCTCGATTAGACACTCACCCCAAGGTCCTTCTCCTTGAATGAGATTTGCAGATTTTGCCTTCTGAGCCTGTACTCTATATGTGGTCTTCTTTGTCCTTCCACTAGCTTCATAACTATGCACTTGTTTGGGTTGAAATCCAGGGGCCATTTGTCAGTCCAGGCCTGCAACCTGTCCAAATCCATTTGTAACCTTTCCTGGTCCTCGTCCGATTGTATTTTCCATATTAGTTTCACGTCGTCTGTGAACAGGGATACCTCTGACTGTATTCCTTCTGTCACGTCATTCATGTATATTTAAGTAACAGCACCGGCCCCCAGTAGTGATCCTTGGGAAACCCCACTCCGACGCCTCATCACTGACCATCACTAGTTGTTTCCTTCCGGCCAAGGATGCCTTGATCCAGTGTAGCGTTTTTCCTGTTATTCATGGCTGCTCCTCTAGCTTATGTACAAGTCTCTTTAGCGGCACTGCATCCAAAGCCTTCTTACTGTCCACGAAAATGCAATCTACTCATTCCTCTCTATTCTGTTTTATTTCTGTTATCATGTCGTAAAACTCCAGTAGGTTTATAACATAAACCTGCTGGAGCCATGTATGAACGCACTCCTTTCTAGATGCTCCATTACTCTTCCGATAATCTCCATAACTTTACGTACCATACGTGTCAGTGACGTATAGTATAGTCACGTATATTTTGCTGCCTTCAGCAGTTACCCTGTTTTGATGAACTTGTTGAAGATTGTTGCTAGCGGCACATACAGTGCCTCTGCTCCCTCTCTCAGGACCCACTGATAAATATTAACTAGTTCCACTACCTTCGAGATATCTAGCTCACACAGCAGCTTCTTTGCCTCTTTCCCCGTTTGTGTTCTGTCCAACGCTTGCTAATGCACTAACAGTTCGGTTTCCTGGTAGCCTTTCTGTCTCTGAGACTACCTCGCTAAACCTTATGGTGAGCTTTTGACAGACTTCCTGGTCATTCCTTGTGAGCTCACCACCTTCCTTCTTCAGCCTGATTACCTAGTCCCTATCGGTTATCTTCCTCTTGATGTGGCTATATAACAACTTTGGGTAGGATTTTGCTTTCGATGCTGTCATTCGCAAATTGCCGTTGAACCTCTCTTCTTGTTCATGCATATTCGTTTGTGGTTCTTCGCCTTAACTCCTAGTATTCCTGAATTCTTCACCTTCTATACTTCTTCCATGCTCTGGCACATTTGGCTTTGGCCTCTCTACACCTCTGGGTAAACCATGGACTCACTTTCGTTTTTCCATTGTTTCTATTGCCCCTTGTATGAACTTCGCCTCCCTACAGATTTTGGCCATATGTTGCATCATCACATTCACTGTCTTTCCTTCTAGAAATTGCCTCGTGCTTGTTTAATCCCCTCTTTTGAAGTTTGGCTTCTCACTACCTTCTTGAACTGCTTCACTCTCCATTGTTACTTCCACAAGGTGTTCAGAACTCAGGACTGTGTGATCGCTAGCGCCGAGGGGACTTTCATATGTAATATTCCTTATAACGGGACCCCTCATTATGAATACATGGTCCATCTTCGCTGGTTCACCTTCTCTCTCTCTGGTTGTATCCCTATCATGTTAGTGTATGAAGTTCTCCATTACCATCTCCAGCAGCTTAGCCCTCCACGTTTCTGGTTCCCTATGTGGCTCTAGCTTCTCTTGGTCAGTCTCCTTATGGATAGTCTCTTCCATGACCTGCAGCTTTTCCCTGCTCATGTGGGCCCTTCTGGCCCTCTCAGCTAGTGTATCCACCATTGTTCTGTTGCTTTCATCATATTCTTGTCTAGCCCTCTTGCTGTTCAAAATTCTGATAGCCAGTAGGGAAGTTCGCGTCTCTTATCATCTCCGTGTGTGTGTGTGTGCTCACCTAGTTGTGGTTGCAGAGGTCGATTTACAACTCCTCTGTGTGTATGTGTGTGTGAGTTGGAAGAAAGTATTGCTTGTATAAACTGTTATAAGGTTGTGTTACCTGTCACCTGTCAGACAGAGGGATCTACTTTAAGCTTGAGGTATTAATTAGCCTCCCCAGAGTATAATCATTCACTACTTCCAATATCCAATGTCCAGGGGAAATGTTTAAGCATGAATTAAAATTTGCAAAAACATATTCATTACTTACAACTACATTTTGTGGGAGTCATAATTATAGATTACTACTATGAAGCCAATGATTCTTTCCTCCATGTGTTTAAGCAACATGAAGCTTTGACAGCAGTCCATCCTTCATATGGCATTATCGAAAAAGTACCTTTTTTTGGTTGATATAATTTTATTTTCCTTCCACCAAAATTTTCGTTTATTACTTGAGAATGTCTGGTTCTATCGGTTTTAAATTTTCTGAGGGAGGGGGGGGGGGTTGTACTGTACCCAGGGAAAGGGTCGAACAATTATTATCATGGGCGAGTGCCAGCTGGTCAATTTCATATAGACCGTTTCTGATATCGGTTTCTATGTAATAACTAGACAAGACTAATGAATGGCATTTAAGATGATGAATTAGACATATGTGCAATATCTGGGAATCTTTATTTGTAGACGTTTCGACATCCAGTGGCTTTATCAATACTATACAAGGATATAATGTGAATATAGTAGAACTATATACAAAAGATAAGGTGATCAGTCCCTCAGCCTTGGAGCTGGTGAAGAGCACCGTAGTCTTCACTTCTGTGCTCTTAACCAACTCCAAGACTGAGGGACTGATTATCTTATATTTCGTTTTGATTCTACATTCTTCACATTAAGTCCTATAATGCTGATAAAGCCAGTGGATAGCGATACGTCTACAAATAAAGATTCCCAGATGTTGCACATACGTCTAATTCTTCAGCTAGATAAGACCTCTTCTGATCTGCTTCATACATACACCACATACTACGTGTTATACTTAGAAAAAAGTTGGAATAATAGTTATTGTGTGTAAAAGACACATTACCAATATTACACTTAAAATGTGTTACATTTTCTGTGAAATAACTTTGATGTCTTAATGGCTGACACACCACTGAATAGGATGGTTCTTAGAAGTTTATTCACTGTAGGTGCAAATTTGTCAATTTACTAGTATAGTTTAATTCACTTGAAATTGTTGGAGTTAGAGCAATAGCTGGAGAGTGTCTCATCTGATCGGTTTCAAACTATCAGTGATAGTGGGGTTGCTCTACGGGAGATTCTGATTAATTTAGTGTTGTGGATGCTCTAATTTGCTAATTGATTAATAATACTTCTGTACAGTAAGTGAGGAATGGCTCTTCTGATCAAATTTTATTGCTACACGATGATGTATCGTACTTAGAGAAAGACTTGGACTGAGTTTTGTCAGTGTATTACTCATTTGCTATTTTAATTAAAGAAATTGGGAAAACTAGAATACTGCTCATGTCATTAATTGAGAATTTCTTATCCGACGGCTTCATACATTCAGTGCTGATGCATCATAGAGTAAGCGTTCAATAGTTAATGGACTTCATAGGTGCCAATTTGCAAAATTTTGCTTCGATCCCTTTTGTCCTTGTCTGGCAGCTCATAGAAAGTATGCAGAGTACAGTTTGTTAAAAAAATCTTACAGTAGTGTAAAGAATTTTAAAAATATTATTGAAAAAAAAAGAAAGATTAGATACTTTTACTGAAAATTTACGTTTTAAAATATTACGATTTTAGTCAACCTTTAGATATTATACTTCTATATTTCTAAGTTGGTCATAAACTCAGATGCAGATTTCTCTTCTCGAAGGTTATCGTTTATAACTTGAAAGTGCTTCTTTCGATTACCACATGTGTATCCTACTCAAAATGTTCGAAATATTATTGGAGTGTGTTGGAACCAATTTTCCAATTTTACTTTTTAAATAAAGTGTTTGTTTTGTGAAATTACTTGAGCATCCCTCTATTGTAAGACTTCAGTCCTTAACAGATGATGTGTCTTACTAATATGATGATATCTTTTCGGTTCAGGTTGTGTTAGTACTAATTTGAGAGGTTACTAAAATTGGTAATAACTTTATAATCGCTGGATCACGTCCAGTAACTGGAGAATGCCCTCTCTGGTAGGCTTCAGCTTTTCAGCGTTGGTGTATCTTTCTTAAAAGT